ATATATATATATATATATATATATATATATATATATATATATATATATATATATATATATATATATATATATATATATATATGTATGTGTATATATACGCACACATACCCACCCACACACACACATATATATACACAACATATCCAATGTATGTATGTATGTATGTATGCATGTATGTATGTATATATATTTACACACAATATATATACATATATATATATATGTATATATGTTTATGTATACACACACATATATATGTATTATATATACATATCTATATGTACATATACATATATGTATGTTTGTACATACATATATACATACATACATCTATCTCTCTATCTATCTATCTATCTATCTATCTATCTATCTATATATATATATATATATATATATATATATATATATATATACATATGTATGTCTGTCTGTCTGCATGTATGTATGTGTGCATAGGTGTATCTGTATATATATATATATATATATATATATATATATATATATATACATATATATATATATATATATATATATATATATATATATATATATGTATACATATATATATATATATATATATATATATATATATATATATATATATATATATATATATATGTTTACATGGACATGTAAACACACACACACACACACACACACACACACACACACATGTATATATATATATATGTGTGTGTGTGTGTGTGTGTATGTAAATGTATTTATATATACATATACATATATATATACATACAGACACACACACACACACACACACACACACACACACACACACACACACACATATATATATATATATATATATATATATATATATATATATATATATATATATATACACACATATTCATACATATGCATATATATACATATATACATATATATATATATATATATATATATATATATATATATATATATATATATTTATATATATGTATGCATATATGCATACACACACACACACAGACACACACACACACACACACACACACACACACACACACAAGCATACACACACATACAAACACACAGACACACACACACACACACACACACGTATATATATATATATATATATATATATATATATATATATATATGTATATATATATATATATATATGTACATATATATATATATACATACACACACACACACACACACATACACACACGCACACACACACACACACATACAAACACACACACACACACACACACACACACACACACACACATACATATATATATGTGCATATATATACATACATACACATACATACACACACACACACACACACACACACACACACACACACACACACACACACACACACACACACACGCATATATATATATATATATATATATATATATATATATATATATATATACATATATATATATATATATACATGCATATATATATATATATATATATATATATATATATATATATATATATATATATATATATATATATACGCAATAAAATACACACACACACACACATATATATGTATGAGCGCGCGTGTGTGTGTGTGTACGTGTGTGTATGTTGAGGGGGGACATTCACTCCTCTACAGAACTTAGTTCTCTGTCAATTCATAAGTGAGAGGTTATTTGACGGTACTTCCTTGCGTGATTGGAGGCCCTTCCTATGCAATCGCGGTTCAGCGAGCCAACACTCGAGCTACGGCGGCATCTTGTCCTACCACACCGGCGTTTGACCTCGCAAGGCTAGGCGCCGGTTTGTTACCCTGTGGTCAGGCTTGAGCTAACAGTCGGAGAGCAAGCACACATGCATCTATCTATATGTGTGTGTTTGTGTTTGCGTTTGTGTGCGTATGTAGGGGGGGGGGTACGTGGGTGTGTAAGCCTGTGTGTATATTTTTGCCCACGTGTGTTTGCTGACAGGCGAGAGAGGAGACGGGAGGAGAAAGGAATGAGATTTCTAACCTCGGCGCCGAAATTCCATCGGCGTAAAAAAAATTCTGTAAATACCACATCATCTTGATATGGTTTCACAACTATCATCCTTAATGCTATCGAAATAGTTAAATCGGAGCCATGTACAGTACAGTACAACTGTTTTCCACCTCAGGACACCGCTGCCAGACCTACGTCTGTAGCGGGTCTTGAGGTTTCTGTTACCAATATTTCTTCCTTTTATTTGAATGGCTGTACAAAAGGAAATTTATAACTCTCGCATTTATAAATAATAATCTTCAAAACAAAACAGAATGAAAAAAACACAAGTTGATAGACGAATATTAAGGTTGTACAACGCCAATAACCCAATGGAAAACAGTCGTTGGCAATTACCGCCTGGCATCGAGCCTCTGGCCGCGGGATCTTGCTATCTTTGCAGTGCCAGTGTGTCTTTTCCCCGTGAGACATAAAGATAGGATCTTCGTAGTAACCCTGCCCTTTCCTCTTTGTAACAGAAAGAAGACCCAGGTTTTCAGATTGCAATG